TATTGGATGTTCTTCGTAAATAAGAAAGCTACAGTCGCTTCACATTAATGAACCAAACCAGATTTCTTCTATTAAGCTAGACCTTAACATAATTACAGGTGTATATCAATCACTGTCCAATAATCTATATCTCTCACAATAAAGGTGTTGATAGGATTAAAATACTGAAAAAAGGTGTTAAATTTACAAACACTTTTCAGCTGATCAACATAAAACATAAAACATAAAATGCAGTTTCTTTTAATAATCTTCATTAAGAAATATTGTATTAAGTCAAAACTAAAATGATTACTTATAAAATTAAAATTGGGGGAGAACTGTCTGCATATTTCAAATTTGGAAGAGAACCTTCAGGGGAGGAAACGGTTAGGGGGAGAACCGTCCGGGAGGAACTGGTAAGGGAGAGAATAGTTTGTCATTATTTCTCAAGCATTTGTGTTTTTTTAATTCATAATTTTGAAGAGTACTTTAGTAAACTAATTTTATTAAGATATGATTATTTTCCAAAAGCAGTTGAGCAAGAAACTTTACACTCATTGCTCATTACTGGTACAGTTTAGGGAAAAAGAAAGTAAAAATTATAAACCAATTACCTCGGGTCTCGACACTAACTTTTTCAGCAGATGGTATGCAGGACCACTGGATCTAAAATTTGATATTTTGATACTATTTTGATACTTTAATTGGTATAGAACAATGTTGAAATAATTGTTTTATCGTTAAATGCACAATAATTGATTGGGTCAAGTGTATTTGCAAGTGAAAAATAAGGTTAAATCAACGTATGTTATTCTGGTTAGGTTTCGTAACGGCTCTAATCCAAAACTTTAATGCCGCATCAGATGAAAACAAAAATGTTAAATAGCGGCTTATAAAGTTTTGGAAGCCAGAACTACACTTAAAATTGGTGACAGAGACATATTTATTATTAGATTTATAACAACTGAAGAAAACATGTAGTTTTTTTTCTATTTCAATCTAATCAGATAGTAAGTCATTGTTTTCCTATTTAGTATTTATTATCTCATTGAAAAATACATGACAGTACTCGTACTTCGGTTAAGTGACTTCTTCCGCAATTCAAGTTAGGGAATAGTGAAACCAATTGTGAATAACTTATTTCCTTACCGTTATTCAAATACTCATTTCTGTTTCCTGGTACATCTTATAAGAATAATAATTGCTTTTTATAGATAAACATTTTTAATTAAACTATTAAGTTATTATATTCTTGTCTTTGAAACAATGAAATATTAATGATAAACAGAAAAATTCCTACATTATAATTGAGCTTCCCTATCTTCCTCACAGATTTATGCTTGTTTGTTGAAATTTATGTATTTTTGACAAAGTATTTATAACCTTTTAAAGTACTTTAAATAAGAAACTAGAAATGTGTCCACCGCGCCACTGTTCTGTCAATCTTATGACTCTAGGTCAAATATTTTTTGAAAACTAAAAATCTTTTACTAAGTAAAGGGCAAGAACTTTACAAATACTGAATAAATCCACAAGCAAACCCCAAGGTGCATAAGTACACATGCTGACCAACATCCTTGTACACTTTCAGGCCTGCAAGTGAAATACTTGTTAGCTCTGCATGAACAAGTTGAAACTACTGAAAGTTAAGGGCAATAACTCTTAACAAAACTTCACAGTGATGTGAATCATTATTCCTGTAATTTAGTGATATTGATCATTATTCCTGTAAAGTTGGTTGATTCTAACTTAAGCACTCAAGAAACAAATAACAACATAATGAAACGGTTTTAACTAAGTCAAGGGAAATAACTCTACAAATACTGGATAAATCCACAAGCAAAACCCCAGGTGAAAAACTAAATATGCTGTCTGAGCAACCTTCGTGTAAGGTTTAATGACTCAATGTCAAATCCTTTTTGAGTTACATGCGACACAAGTTGAAAATTGCAAAATTTTACTAAGTCAAGGGCAATAACTCTAAAAATACTAAAAATATCCAGACAAAAATACCCAGGTGAACAACTACACATGCTGATCAACATTCCTGTAAAGTTTCATGACTCTAGGTCAAATACTTTTTGAGTTTCATGCGACACAAGTTGAAAATTGCAAAATTTTACTAAGTCAAGGGCAATAACTCTAAAAATACTAAAAATATCCAGGCAAAAATACCCAGGTGAACAACTACACATGCTGATCAACATTCCTGTTAAGTTTTAAAGTGGGGACACAAAAAATGGATCTCTGATTGTTGTGTCTACCAAGTTTGTTCAAATAAATGTAGATAAGGTTAAAATAAGCCAAGTTAAATACTGTAGTTACTTCCCTTAAAGGCCAAACCAAATCTTTTGTGGTGTTATGTGTTCATGTTTGTCTTTGTTCCTTTTGTTTTTGGGTGATTTAACTGGTTTTGCAAGTTGAGTGATGGATGATTGGTTTTGGTTAATTTTAGATGATTTGGTTCTGGGATAGCTTAAATATTATCTTGGTAACTGACCACTCCTTGTCTCGCTTTCAAAGTGTAAAGAACTTTAAAATTATTTAACTTTCAGTAATTTCTTAATAGAAATACTTGATTCTTATTTCTATTATTTCATTAGATTTCTTCTATTACAAGACTGGTATGTTTAATAGTGTATATATGTATTTATTTATTTGTGAAATTGTTTTTATTGTAATTTGAATTGTTGTATTATATTGTGTATTATGTATTTTGTAAAATGTATTTGTCTTGTATTATATTTGTTTGTAATGTGATGTCTCATACTTATTTTATTTGTTACAGGTTTTATTCTTTATTGACTAAACATATAATAAACATATCAAAGTGTTTATTGTTGGAAACCCCACCACTACATAAAAGCCCCTGGTTTAAAATTGGCCTTGGCCCAGGGGCCTATATATTGGCGAGCGTTTTTAGGGCCATCATGACCCTCTTGTTTTAACCTTGCCCAGATATTTACGATCAAGATGTGGTCTCAAGATTGCGGCTAAATGGCAGTCTGAGTCATACAACACAATCTAATTTGGGACTAATTTTTAGCTCGACTATTCGATAAGAATAAGTTGAACTATTGTAGTCACCGAGCGTCGGCGTAACCACTTATGTTAAAGTTTTTGTAATACCTCAGATATTTTCAAAGCCCATTAACATATGGCTTTGAAACTTTGCACACTTATTCACCATCATGACCCCAACCTGTAGACGGGAGAAGGTAACTCTATCTAGCATTTTGACAGAATTATGCCCTTTTTTCGACTAAGAATTTTCGTTAAAGTTTTTGTAATACCTCAAATATTTTCAAAGCCCATTAACATATGGCTTTGAAACTTTGCACACTTATTCACCATCATGACCCCAACCTGTAGACAAGAGGAGGTAACTCTATCAAGCATTTTGACAGAATTATGCCCCTTTTTCGACTTAGAATTTATGTTACAGTTTTTGTAATACCTCAAATATTTTCAAAATTCATTGACATATGGCTTTGAAACATGTTGCAATTTTATACTCTTCTTTGAGAGCATTCTAGGACTCTCTCCAATGTCCATAACTGTAATATAGATTAAAATAAAAAATTTGCCTTTTTCTTTACTGAAAAAATTTTACCTTTTAATCAAGGCGTTTTTTACTATAGATCAAGCACTAAGAATAGTCGAGCATTGCTGTCCTTCTGACAGCTCTTGTTTGAGTTTACAACCCCCTTTTCTTGAACAAACCCAAAATGTTCCTTAATGCTTTGAATGTTTAGCTTTCTTTTTATCCCAACAATTTTATGTTTTACACCAATTTTTAAGTGTTGCTAAGATATGGACATAGACTAAAATGTAGACATTTCTGAATAATGAATCTAGGATCAAAAGACAGTTCAAAGTATAATGATAATTGATTTAGATGTATCAGATTTTTATTTTACAAACTAATTTTCAAAATTGGATTGTTTCGTATATATAATTATTTCATTTTTAGCTCGACTTTTTTTTTTTTTTTTTGATAAAAAAGTAGAGGTATTGCTATAGTCACGGCGGCGTTGCCGTTGCTGTTCCCGTCCGCAAACATGTACCTGGATCATAACTTTTTTATTTCTTGATGTATTGTCTTCATACTTGGCTACAACAACCCTTGGGACAAGACCTTTAAGTAGCCCACACTAACCTTGACCTTCATCGATAAATAACCTTGACCTTCAAGGTTAAAAGTCCAAATTTTGCTTGTTCATGCTATTATTGGATGTAACTTTGTTATTTTTGAAATGATTGTCTTCAATCTTGATCATAATAATCTTCAAGGATATCCCTTAAAAATAACCAGACAGACCTTGACCTTCACTCATAAATGACCTTGACTTTGAAGGTCAAATTACTGAAATTTTCTTTTTTTTTGGCTATTATTGGCTGTTTTACTTTGTTATTTTTGAATGGATTGTCTTCAAACTTGAACATAATAATGTTCAAGGATAACCTTCAAAAATAAACAGAGAGACCTTGACCTTCACTCATTTAAATGACCTTGACTTTGAAGTTCAACTTATTGAAATTTTCATTGTTTTGACTGTAACTGGCTGTAACTTTGCTATTATTGAAGGGATCAACTTCATATTATAACAGAACATACTTAAGGACAAGACCTTGTTGTTTATCAAACACTTGGGCTTTTTAATGGCCTTGAAGGTTAAATTACTGAATTTTCTTAGATTAGTGCATCAACAACAACAACAACACGTGACTCCACCACCATGTGACACCACTATGTGACACCACATGACTCCACCACGTGACTCCACCACGTGACTCCACCATGTGACTCCACCACGTGACTTCACCATGTGACTACCACGTGACTCCACCACGTGACTAGAAATTGTTGAATTGATTTTAGCCGCTCAATGTGGCCCAAATAATATCTACTTTTGTATATGACCATTTCTAACAACAAATCTCAGGGCCAACAGTGTTTGTGATCAGTCATAGTTAATGTTGGTTTTCCTTGGATTCTTACAAATTGTAGCTAAAAATATTTTTTGTTTGTTTTAGAAATCAAGATGGCACATGAGATACATTTAAAGAACAACAAATACCGGCAGTGGGTTAAGGCTGGCCTAGGCTTGGGTTATCTTAAAGAGGGACTTGCGCCATTTTGTGATGACATTGGAAGACAGCAGCACAAAGATATTATAAACCAAATACAACAAGCAAAGACTCCTCAACCAAACATACCATGTGGCGCCTGTCAGATAACAACTCTCCAGCCAGATCATGTCCGAGTCTCAAAAGGGATATGTCCCCTCAAACAAGATAAATGTAACTGTTGTTTTCCTAATAATAAGAGACCCTGTTCAAACAATGTATGTGGTGCCATCTATGACAGCATTATACAGTATCATGCATCAATGCCACCAGTACCTTTTTGGAAAAACAGTGATGCCCAACAGTGGTCGACAGACCCATGGAACGTTTGCAAATGTTTTATAAATGCTCCGGGGTACAAGGACAAGACATCAGCAGTCGACACTGATTGCACTGGGTTGCTTCATGTTATCATAAATAACAAGTACTTTCATAGTCACATTGGATGCAATGTTACAGGACCAAACAATCTTTTTTCAAAGGTAACTAGATTTGTATACTATAATTATTATGTTTATTTTAAATTTTGTAGAATATTAAAGCAGCACGCCTCCATTTCATGCTTATTTTCATGAATATTTTGATAATGTATTTGAATGTACAATATTGTGAAATAACTAAAAAGAAGCACTTGACACATTTTCAATACAGTTTAAGTAAATTACAAAAAAGTGGTCAAAATATGCAAAAATAGCCGTTACTGCATTAGTAGCGCAGTAAAAATATAGTAAAACTGTTGTAAATACTGACAAATCAGTCATTTATGGCACATAGCATGTAAAATATTACTTGAATCTTGAATCATTTTACTTTTTAGCTCACCTGTCACAAAGTGACAGGGTGAGCTTTTGTGATCGCTTTTCGTCCGGCTTCCTGCCGTCCCGCGTCCGTCCGTAAACTTTTACTTTAAGTGACATCTCCACAAAACCACTAAGCCAATTTCATCCAAACTTCACAGGAATGTTTCTTTGGTGGTCACCTTGAAAAATTGTTCAAAGAATTTAATTCCATGCAGAACTCTGGTTGCCATGGCAACCGAAAGAAAAAACTTCAAATTTAGCTTCTTTTAAAAAAAAAAACCCTAAGAGCTAGAGCTTAGATATTTGGCATGAAACATCTTCTAATGAGTGTCTACAAAGTTTGTTCAAATAAAAGCCCTAGGGTCAAAATTGGCCCCGCCCCAGGGGGTCATTGATTTTCCCTATGTGCATATAGTAAAAACTTTAAAAATCTTCTTTTAAAGAACTCATTGAAGAGCTAGAGCTAAGATATTTAGCATGAAACATGTTCTCATGGGTGTCTACCAGGTTTGTTCAAATAAAAGCCCTGGGGTTTAAACTTGCCCCGCTCCGGGGGCCTATATACAGGTGAACGACTTTGGGCCATCATGGCCCTCTTGTTTATTATTTATTCACTTGTGACACACAAGATTATTACCCCACCCACTCATAATAATAATGCAAAACGTTCAAATTGCATTATCTTAAAAATACCTAATATTTACAATTGAAAAGAGGTTCAAGTAATATTTATATCACATAAGCTTATATAAATAAAGAAACATAATCACTTAAGCAAAATGTAACATACGTTACATCAATTACATTGACATTATTCTAGCATATTTTTTAAAACTATTTTTGAATAATTTATAAAAATAAAGAAAACAAACTTAGTTACAACAAACAACGCATCTGGTTATTATAAATATACTCAATTTCTGAAAGTTACTTAAACTGGTTATTTAGTCTTTTGCTGTATCATTTAACATAATTTGTACGTTACGAAAGTCTCATCCATCCAAATATTACCCATAAATGTTATGCAAACTATCACTTTTAACATGATTTAGTAGAAATAACTTCATTTATCATCGCCAGGATGGTCCAACTATCTATATTGCACAACACTTAAGTTAGTGAAGAATAAATGCTGAAAATGAGCTGTAGTTATGTCTTTAGAAATGGTTCAAAATTAGAATTTTATATGTTCAAAATGCCAATTTTATATCATGTATCATTTAGGTTGCTTTAAAAAATATTTCACCTTTGAAATTGAATGCCATCACATCTTGTTTACCCTATTTATGTTTTCTTCATTAATATATAAAGAGATATTTAAGTGATCTCTCTCATAATGCTCATAAGTTCGACTACACCTAGTCACATTAAAAAATAAGTTATCCTTTCAATAACTTTCAAAGTATTGCATAGTGGTTAAAAAGCCTTCTCCTGCTGTTTTGGGGGTCTTTTCACTAGATTTGCAAGTCGTGTTTTTGCACTTTTCATGAAAAGAACGTCTTTAAATGACTGTTACTGTTACAACAATGGTGGTAACGTATTTTAGCTGTCAGGAGGCCATTTAATTACGCCTTTGATTCTTTCTAGGACCTTACTGCACGCTTAAAGTGTCTTGTTTTACACAAAGATTTGATTTAAACATGAAAGTCTAAGGTTTCAACTTTACTGACAACATCGCCAGGAAATTTATGTTCTTTCTGCAACTTACACAGTTATTGTCTTAAATAAATATACGTTCAACATTTTTTTCTTGTTTCTAAACTTCTAATCATATTATGGTCTCTTGCAGTTTTCTCTTCTCGTCGTACATGATAACAATACTCTTTTCTATCATTTCGACTTTACATCCAGTCATCTAAAATGGAATTAAAAAGAGATTACAAAAAAGCATTGTCTGGTCTTAAAAAAATAATACTATTCATTAAATAAATTTTACCCAAAAAGTGGAGTCCTCTTCAGAGAAATGCATGAATTTGGGTGCACTATAGAGCAAAACATATGTTCAACGTCAAATACAGCTTTCATGATCACAGACTCAATCAAACCATGATGCCTGTAATTTTCAGTAAGTTTGCTGTTTTTAAGGCTTCCGAGGGATCACTTATTTGACTAGATACGTATTTATAGATGTGAAGTACTGTGTGACAGCCGTAAAAAGTTGCCCCGTATATTCAGTATTGTTATATTTTTCTGGTCATTCGGGATCATTGAATCCAGCACTTTAAAGTGTTGAGAATTTAGTACCGCTCAATTCGGTGCTAGGGGGGCATGAGGGATGTTGCACTTTTTCATTATTCTTCATAAACAGGCTCAATCAAACCGGCTCGGCAATTTTCATGTAAATTTGCTTTTTAATGCATCTGAGGGATCACTTTTTTACCAGATATTTAAATTACATCTGTAACTGTTATTGACGAGAGAAACAGAATTAAATAAAAGGAGGCATTTCCCCTGTAGTCGCATGGTTGTAGGTAAGACAGGGCTTCATTTTTGGCTTATCAAAAACAGCACCCAAACTATTTATCTATCACTTCATATAAATGAGTTATCTGTTCGTTTAGGCCAATACTTTCAATATGATTCACAGACCATATGCTGTAGTTTTCATAAATATAGGACGAAAAGCATAAGGAAAGGAAAACAAACAGATAGACACACCCTATTAAAGATAGGCAGATGTTAACAGTATCTCAGAATCAAGTTTTACAACTATCAAATTTTATTTTTTGGTAAAGACAAAAAACAGAGAGCCAGACGGACAGAAAGGCAGATATACATGTTTTTAAACAGATAGACAGACGGTGTGGATGGACATACATATATCCATATTAGCACAAACATCTCTGATTCATTACGTTTGTATTGAAACTATCTTATCTCATGTGTTTGTCAAATTGTACAACGAATTTAACACTCAAAATGGGGATCTATTACCACTGGCAAAGCAACAGTTAACTCAGAATATAGCTCCTCATCAATATTTGTAGCACAATTTAGTTAAACCATGAACATGTAAACCAGAGACACAGATAACATGTTATATATGTCTCTGGTTAAACCATGGAGCTAAACAACAATTTGAACTGCTTACTGTGACTGTAAAATAAGTTTTCTCCCTTTTTTGGAATCACAATTTTAAAATAACATAATCATTGTAAATTATGTATCTGTTTTTGACTCCCCTGACATCTCATATTATCACTAGTATGTAAAAAAGATAATATACTCGTATCACACTCAGTATTACCTTTCAATTCTTATCTTCCAAATGTTATTAAAATGAATACACAATGACATTTTTACCAAAAACTAATGATCTGTGAATAAATATCATGCATTTATGATTCTAAAATTAATAACAATTTATTCTAGATTTCGTGCATTGTTTACCCGAACACGCTTCCGTAGTTACATTTTGAAGCTACCCAGGATAAACTTAAATGTGTTTATTTTTCCTGCTTCATAAACATCTTATTATCAAAAGGAATGTTAATCTATAGGCTAATGATTATTTATATCTCATGAAAATTGCAAATTCTTTACTGTTTTAAACGACAAACGCTGATTTATATACACGCGAAAACCCATTACAATTCATTCATTGTATTTGATATTTGGGCATGTACGAGGCTAACAGTTGTAAAAACAAGTAAATATAACATAAAAATTTATACATACTTTGCAAAACAGCTTCTTAATCCAACTCCAAGTAGTAAATGTGTAAATTTTGATATATTTAAATCGCGCGGCCTCATAACTTTTGTTTACCTCGACACCGGTTACAGTATAAAACTCTGTGTATGGTGTACATGCAGAGCCATAAAAAAACTCGAAACAAATGCAAAATTTGAATTGCTTTTTTTACTGGTTTGCCATGGTTAGATTTTTTTAGGGTTTTTACCTGTTTTATATGATGTGTATAACAAACTAAAAATATAAAAAAAGCTTGTGTTGCAATTTGTTTGACGTTAAATTTTACTTTAATCGGACTATTATATGTGTAAAGCAAAATCTTAAAAAAAAATCTTCTTTGAAAAAAACCCAAATAGCTAGAGTTAAGATATTAAGCATGAAACATCTTTTAGTGAGTGTCTACAAAGTTTGTTCAAATAAAAGCACTGGGGTCAAAACTGGCCCGGACCCAGGGGTGTCATTGTTTTTAACTATAATTTTTATGTGTATAGTAAAAACTTTAAAAAAGTCTTCTTTTAACAAGCCCAATGAGCTAGAGCTTAGATGTTTAGCATGAAACATCTTCTTATGGGTGTCTACCAAGTTTGTGCAAATAAAAGCCCTTGGGTTAAAATTGGTCCTGCAACGTTGGGAGGGGGGGTTGGGGGGCTATATAGAGGTGAGCGACCTCAGGGCCATCATGGCCCTCTTGTTCCGTATCCCATGTGTCCAAATATAGGCCTGGGCATTCCCAATGCAAACTTTGTCTTTTTTTTTCCCAATCCCAAAAAAATCCCTTTCCTGAAGTCGGTGATTTGAAAAAAGGTACAAACATTTTGTATTTGGTGTGGACGTTCCAAATGTTTCAGATATCTTTTAAATTCTTATCAGTTTCAGTAATATTAATTTAGCTTTATTTAAAGAGTTTGCACATTTTATATGCTGGCATTTTTTTTCCCAAATAATAAATTTCACAATTATTTTTTTCCTTATTTGAATAAAAAATTAAGTCTTAGACACAATGTCCCCAAATTTGCAATGAATATTATACATGTAAGAAAAAGGCCTGGTATAATTTATGATTGCGTCTTTTATGAAGGTAAGTACCTTAACAAGTGTCAACAAAACAATTTTGTTTGCTTAACAGTATAAACATGTATATGCATAGAATAATATTAAAACCTGTGTTTTCTATTCAATAGGTACGTCAGTATAGAAATAATATTTTCCACTCAAGCAGCATGGAATTAGAAGAAAGTGAGGCCAATTCATATATTGACGATATGATAGCAGTTTTACAAGATGGTAAAGAGCTATTACAACAACCAGATGCCCAGATAGCAGTGAATAAACTTCAAGATGTAAGTGTAAATAATTAATTATATCAGTTTGAAATCTTTATGGCGTTAACTTAAAATGATTAAAGATAACATATTTGAAAAGTATGTATCTAACCATCTAAAACAATTTCTAGAAACTCATAAGTTTATTCATATGACCCAGTCAGGATTCAGGACCAAGCACTCTTGTGAAACAGCATTAACAAACATAGTTGACAATTGGATAAATGCAATTAATGATGGAGAACTAGTTGGCACAATTTTTCTTGACCTAACCAAAGCATTTGACCTTGTAAACCATAAAATTCTTATTCAGAAACTGCATTATTACCATTGTTCTTCTCATACAATTAAATGGTTTTCATCTTATCTTGCAAACAGAACACAGAAAGTCAGTGTATCAGGTAAACTCTCAGAATCTGTAGAGGTTATATCAGGTGTTCCCCAAGGATCTGTCCTTGGGCCCCTGCTTTTCATTATATACATCAATGATCTCCCACTTCATTTAGAGACCTCAGAAATAGATATGTTTGCAGATGACACCACACTTACAGCATCAGGACATTCACCACAAGAACTACATAATAAACTTCAAACTAACCTCGAAAATGTAAACAAATGGTGTATACAAAATGCAATGGTGTTAAATACACAAAAAACAAAGGCAATGCACCTTACATCAAATAATACACAGCTTCATTTACCACCTTTACACCTTCAAGATCAAATGATCCAATTTTCTGAAACCGAAAAGTTACTAGGTGTTTTTGTTGATAGTAAACTAAAATGGAAAATCCAAATAGAAATGATACTTAAAAAATGCAACTCTCAGTTATACCTACTTCTCAGAATCAAGCAATACCTAGACTTACATGCAAGAAAACTATTTTTTAACTCATACATCTTACCACACCTAGATTATTGCTGTACTATCTGGGGCAATTGCAGCAATGATCTGATCAATGATATCATAAATTTTCAAAAAAGAGCAGCAAGAATAATTCTAGATAAAAGTTACGATGCACCCTCTAGTGATTTGTTTAAAGAACTAAATTGGATGAGATTTGATGAAAGAATGAAATACAAAAAAGCAATCATAATATTTAATCTATCAATGACATACCATATCCACAATACATGCAAAGTAAATTCCAATTTGTACACCAAAAACATGAGCGCAACTTAAGGTCTACAAATAGTTCAGACCTAGCTGTTCCACGACCTAAGAAAGAATTTTTCAGAAAAATCCCTAGTATACTCTGGCCCTAAATTATGGAATAATATCCCTCTTAACATAAGGAAATCTAAAACAGTTCAGGAAATTTCAAGCTTCATATCTATCCTGGCATTTCTCATCATTAAATTAATCATTTTATAACAAAATTAGAATCCAATCATTTGATGTACCACCTTAAAAGTATTTCCCTTCTTTTAATTTGATATGTACTTCTTTGACATGTATTATGCTTTGAATGGACTGTAAATATTTAACATGTATTTCTTGTTCTGACAATATCAATGTACATTGTAACATAATGTTGTTGCAATTATTTTTGTAATATTGTAGTTGTATATATTGTAAATTATGTTTTTATTAGAGGCCCACATGGAAGATTGGGAAACCAAATGTGTAGCCTCGATAAATAAAGCCTTTACTTACTTACATGCCACATAATTCAGGACAAAGTTAAGGTAACAGAGTTTGAAGTGGTTATAATAATTCCCTTAAGTTAATTGATAAAGTCACATGAAAATATATATGTACCTATAAAATGTTAAATTATAAGCAAAAGAGATTTTAGTTTGTAAGGAACTTCTGAAATCCAAAAACTTTGAATCCGAACAATATTTTGGGTACCAAAATTCTATATAATTCATACCTCTGAATTTTTGAGGACTTCTGAATTCTGATATTGTGGTAAATTTGGATTATAGCAACACAAATTTACTTCCAATATCCAGACATTGAAAAGGGGTGTGAATGATTATTATACTTGAGATAATAAAACCTGCAAAATGTTTGTATCTCCCATTTAGCTGTGACCATAATTATATATCTTAACCCCTATTAGAATCTAAACATGTCAAGCATGTCAAATCCTTGATTTAAGTGTGAAATGAAGAAACTGAGAAGTATTAAAAGAATTCTGAAAACTTCTAATATTTGAACTTTTTGGATAGTCACACTGGTTGCATTGAAATAAATGTAGACAAATTAACAGAAGAATGAAAAAAGGAGACTGATAGCCAGATACCTATACTACATACCCTCTTATAAGATTTAAGAATGCAACAGAAAAGTGTGAAAATTAACATAAAGAACAATTGAGGTATTTTTGAAATAAAACGATATTGCTTTAAAATATGTTATATGTAAGAGTGAAGTTTAAAAATCACATAGCTAATGTAGTCTTAAAGAAAATGTAACAAAATTGTTATTTTCATCAGCTGAAGAAGAAGGACTTCATTGTTACTACTGAAGGTTTTGAAGATATTCTGGGGCAAATCAAGGACGAAATGTCAAAAGTTTTGAAATCAACGGAAAATGCTGCTACTAAAGAAGAATATGGGACCTGAAAAGTAAACTCTCAGAGGGAAAAGTTGAGACTGAAAAAACTTGAAAACAAAACTTGCAAATATGGAGAAACAGATTTCTGAAGAAAAAGAAAGGACAACTAGAGGCTGAGAAAGAACATGCAGATTTAAAAAAGAAATTTACTATTCTTGAGACAATAATGGAAGAGCAAAAAACAGGTAAAATGTTTTAGCGATTGTTTGTTTCCACTTAAGATACCAGTTCATGTATTGCATTCAGCCATGGTTTTAAGATACTTATGTTTGTATAAACCAGTATTATTTGCTTGTCATTAAGGCACACAATAAGGTTAGCAAGCTTTATTATTTCATGATGCATATTGTCATCCACTTTTTATCTCACCTGAACACAAAGTACTCAAGGTTGATCTTTTGTGATCACTCTGCGTCCGGCATGCATCCTTCAAAAAATGGCGTTTAACTCTTAACATCTCTTATACCAATTGGCTGATATTTTAAATATAAGCAGTAATATTTCTAGCATGAAGCCCTTTAAAATGATTCAAAAAATTCCATTCAATGCTAAATTCTGGTTGCCTTTGAACCAATGGAAAATCTAAAAAAAAACTTTTAAAAATCGGAATGCCATAGAGCTTAGATATTATGCATGGAACTTATGCCAATGGGTTTCTTCCAAATTTGCTCAAATAAAAACCATTTGGCCATTAAATTTCCTTTATACAGGTATGTAAATAGTTAATACACAAAGAAATATTCTTTAAAAAAACCCAAAAGAGCCTGAGCTAAGATATTTAAAATGAGACATCTTCTAGTATTTGTTTACCAAGTTTGTTCAGGATAAAATTTGCCCTGCCCCAGGGGGTAAATGATTTTCCTTATCTGTAGATAGGAAAAATAAATCTTCTGTTATACTAAAGAAGCTTAGATATTTGGCATATAACACTGTCACATGGACCTCCACAAAAATTGTTTAAATTATAGCCCCCGCTCCGCCCTGGGGTTACATTGATTTACCTTATATGTTTATAGTAAAAAAAATTAAAAACAAATTCTTCCCTGAATCTACAAGAGCTAAAGCTGAGATTTCATAGCATCTATAGCAGCCATTGACTTTTCATAGCAAACTGTAAAATTTCATAGCAACCAGCAAACATTAAACTTTGCATGGCAACGAGTGAATCTACCATTTAATTTAATATCAGGAACTAATTTCCAAGGAAACCATTTATTTTATGGAACTGTTGCTTCCCCCATTAAGGGCTCCAGATAAGATGCGTATATGCGTACATTACGCATGAAAATCACAAGTTTACACATACTGGTTTGGGAGATAAACTCGGCCGAAAAACCGTGTTTTGGGGGCATATTTCATTTATTTGTTTACGTATTCTGATGAATCTTGCACCATAATAAACTTCAGCACTTTGATTGTCCGGTATCACCATAAAAGTTATATTCAGAAACATAACGGGTAATTTAGAGAGGCCCTGGAAGAGGTACGTAAAAAGGATATTTTTAATGCGCGTGAGTAGATAATTCCGGCTCTTTGTTTTCCTTCTTAAATGAGTAAGTTAAAACGTAAAATAACATGTTTAGACATTTTATTATTTCTTTGCTGTTCATTTATGTCAAATAAAAATATTTGTTACAAAAATTGTTGAGCATTACGTTAGTATAATGAATATCTATGATAACACGATATTTATATGCAACGTACTATGTAACATATAAATCATTTTTACGTAAAAACACATGCATTATCATTTATTAACATATAACGAAATATGTTGTTAAAGAATTAATGATTCAAATTTATTTTTGCTTAGCTTAACAGAGTGAAGAAGAAATTAATTTAGTGGTATTCAACCTACACATTAACATATAAAAGGAGCATTTTACATCAGTCTTTCAATCCATTCCACTTAAAGATTACAATTGTGTAATCAGCTTTTTAGCTCACCTGTCACAAAGTGACAGGGTGAGCTTTTGTGATCGCTTTTCGTCCGGCGTCCGTCCGTCCGTCCGTAAACTTTTAAAAGACATCTCCTCATAAACCACTGAGCCAATTTTATCCAAACTTCACAGGAATGTTCCTTTGGTGGTCACCTTTAAAAATTGTTCAAAGAATTTAATTCCACAGAACTCTGGTTGCCATGGCAACCGAAAGAAAAATCTTTAAATATCTTAAATATCTTCTTTTAAACAACCCTAAGAGTTAGAGCTTAGATATTTGGCATGAAACATCTTCTAATGAGTGTCTACCAAGTTTGTTCAAATAAAAGCCCTGGGGTCAAAATTGGCCCCGCCCCGGGGGGTCATTGATTTTCCCTATATGCATATAGTAAAACCTTAAAAAATCTTCTTTTAAAGAACTGTAAGAGCTAGAGCTAAGATATTTGGCATGGAACATCTTCTAATGAGTGTCTACCAAGTTTGTTCAAATAAAAGCCCTGGGGTCCAAATTGGCCCCGCCCCAGGGGGTCATTGATTTTCCCTATATGCATATAGTAAACATTTAAAAAATCTTCTTTTAAAGAACTGTAAGAGCTAGAGCTTAGATATTTGGCATGAAACATCTTCTAGTGAATGTCTACCAAGTTTGTTCAAATAAAAGCCCTGGGGTCAAAATTGGCCCCGCCCCAGGGGGTCATTGATTTTCCCTATATGCATAAAGTAAAAAATTAAAAAATCTTCTTTTAAAGAACCCAAAGAGCTAGAGCTTAGATATTTGGCATAAAACATCTTCTAGTGAATATCTACCAAGTTTGTTCAAATAAAAGCCCTGGGGTCAAAATTGGCCCCACCCTGGGGGGTAATTGATTTTCCCTATATGCATATAGTAAAAACTTAAAAAATCTTCTTTTAAAGAACCGTAAGAGCTAGAGCTTAGATATTTGGCATAAAACATCTTCTAGTAAAAGTTTACCAAGTTTGTTCAAATAAAAGCCCTGGGGTCAAAATTGGCCCCGCCCCAGGGGGTCATTGATTTTCCCTATATGCATATAGTAAAAACTTAAAAAATCTTCTTTTAAAGAACTGTAAGAGCTAGAGCTTAGATATTTGGCATGAAACATCTTCTGGTGAATGTCTACCAAGTTTGTTCAAATAAAAGCCCTGGGGTCCAAATTGGCCCCGCCCCAGGGGGTCATTGATTTTCCCTATATGCATAAAGTAAAAACTTAAAAAATCTTCTTTTAAAGAACTGTAAGAGCTAGAGCTAAGATATTTGGCATGAAACATCTTCTAGTGAATGTCTACCAAGTTTGTTCAAATAAAAGCCCTGGGGTCAAAATTGGCCCCGCCCCAGGGGGTCATTGATATTCCTTATATGCATATAGTAAATACTTATAAAATCTTCTTTTAAAGAACCCAAATAGCTAGAGTTTAGATATTTAGCATGAGACATGTTCTAATGGGTGTCTACCAAGTTTGTTCAAATAAAAGCCCAGGGGTCAAAACTGGCCCCGCCCCGGGGGTCATTGATTTTCCTTATATACATAGCAAAAACTTAAAAATCTTCTTTGAAAAAACCCAAATAACTAGAGTTTAGATATTAAGCATGAAACATCTTTAAGTAAATATCTACAAAGTTTGTTCAAATAAAAGCCCAGGGGTCAAAACTGGCCCTGCCCGAGGGGTGTCATTGTTTTTAACTATATGTGTATAGTAAAAACTTAAAAAATCTTCTTTTAAAAAACCCAATGAGCTAGAACTTAGATGTTTTGCATGAAACAACTTCCTATGGGTGTCTACCAAGTCTGTTCAAATAAAAAAATAAAAGCCCTTGGGAAAAAAATTGGGCCAGAGGGGGGGGGGGGGGGCTATATACAGGTGAGCGACCTCAGGGCCATCATGGCCCATGTTTTTGGTAAACAAACAGGTCTGTGTTATATTTTTTAAATATCTTACCAAACTTTACAAAAATTTCCAGATATTAGTCCGAATTCAAAGCGATATTGATTCCAAAATTCCATTTAATTATAAAAAAGCCGAGTTTATCAAACCAGCCGAAAATATGTCCCCAACCAAGTACTGAGTTGAATTTTTGTTCACTGCACAAGAAATTGTGATAAAGCAATGAATAACATTTCGTCAGCATAACCAAAACTTAAACTTTATTGCTGAAATCACATATTTAGTGAATTAAAGTTTTGTTGAGTTTCGCTCATTTCCGCACTTTCAAAACCTCAAAATGAAAATCAATTTTTTTTTTGTGCAAATCTAAATCCCAAACAGCAGACGATTGATTTGCCTACTCCATACTGTAGTGGGGCTGTAAGCCAATCTGAGAGTCCTCTGTTATGTAAGCGATAACACAGTAACAGCGTAAACAAAATTAAACAGACTGTGACCTTCAAGTGGTCCGACACAATAATTACCTTGACAATTAAATGATTATGTTGTAAAGATTAAATGCAGTTTGTGTCAGATTTATAAAACATGGGATATTTTGGCTTATTATGGTAGACAATGTTCTGTACTTTTTGTCAGAAGATAAGTGCCAGCCTCATAAAACATCGGCGATTTTGTCGATGAAAATGTTTTGAACAGCCAAACATAATTTAAGAATATTAAGTGCGAAAAAAGGAGTTTTTTTCTTATTCATAAAGGGCTTTATTAACGCCCAGGCAAAACAATGTCACTACTTGCTGATAAGTTACGTTCAAACCATCGCAAAAAAAAAGAGGTTTTGCTCAGCTAGGATTAATTTTACCCCAATGTATTAAAACATGATATTGCTATTATGCAAAGTTCAAATAGTTAAAAAAAGTATAGTTATCATTTATGAGGCAAGTTAAATTTTCCAAAATAACACTATCAATTCGCAGCAAAGAAGACAAATCTTTTTTGAGCAAGCTCAGGGGTGAGCTTTTAGGATACAATCAATTAATTTAAAGATTTTAAAATTACCTAGCCTGAATTTCCCCAGTTTGAATTTATTCTACTATATATTTAACTACATTTTTCCTTTAAAAATTTTTACTGGCCCGAACTAATTTTTCCATCTGGCCATCGGGCTAAATTCGATGACTGGGGAATCAATGAAAT